AAAAAAAAGAAAGATTTGCCATATTTAGCCCCTGTGTCAAGGAATGAGGAGAAGAGAGGTCTGTTGTATGTTAAAATGTTGTGCCATTTACTTTAAATTGAAGGATAATATGGCCATGGGAGTAAAAGCTCTTACTGAGGTACAAAGAATGTAGAACTGTTTTGTATAAGAACTTGCAGTGAAAATGGAAAATTAAGTGCCTGCCAAATGCAGGATCCAGGTGATGTCTGTTGTACAGAGTGTCACTCGTTACCGTGGCAGTTGATTAGAGCATGTTTCTCAAACTGGGTATAATGTAAATTCTTTACAGGAAGAAAGTCTAAAGGATCCTCATGTCGACTAAGGTATTTAGTTTATAGCTCTTTACTAATTATAAATATGATAGTATAGATGCAAGTATAGATACAATACAAATATGCACGTTTACAAATCAAATATTAATAAAGCTAAGAAGTCAGTTATATTAAAACTAACAATTTAATGTGGAGGATAAGATCTTTTACTCTGTAGGTGGTTCTTTGAGATCGTGAGGTGATGGAGTAGTTGCCCCTGTCCCCATTCCCCCTTTCTCTCTATTCAGCCAGTGTCTTTCCTATAGTATACAGTGATATTTGGCATTTTGGGAATGCGTCATTTTTATGAAAACTTTCCTATTCTTTTTTCATTATCCCATAGCAATTTGAATAATAATACTTGCTAATAATTTGTATAAAAACAAATGCAAATGCAGGCCCTGTGAGCTCTGTTTTGAGATGGTGGTCCAGAAGCTCCACAATGTACATTTATTAGTTTTTAGATTATAATTGAAATGAAAACACCAATTTAAAAAACAATGTCATAGAGAACGTACAAATACCTGAAATAATCCCCTCCTTTCTTCCTCTTTTACTTTTCACCTAAGTTTTAGAAGTATTGGGCATTGAGATACACCTGTGTGTGACCCCGTATTTATTGGAATGGTGGTTTTAACAAGTCCCCTAATGAGATTGTGAAGCCAGTTTAAAATGCTCCCTCTGCCTCCTCTTTTTGGAGGGGTCTCTGGATATGACCTCTTTTTCCTCTGAACTCTCCAACATTTTATTGAAACTCCCCTTTTGATGACACTCACTCCCCCTTCCCCCTGTGGTTGTTTTATGCTTAGATTAAAGGTACACTGAGAGCAGGGATGCGCTTTCAAATTGACTGCTCAGTAAACACCTGCTGACTTCAAGGGTCAAATCAGAGTTAAATTCTTTTTTGCTATGTAATCAAATCAGTCTAGTCAGATGAGCATAATGCAAGTAACAGATTACTTCACTGATATTAATTCCATCCTCAGGAGTTAAATACACACTAAGAATGTGAGAAACGCTTCTAAGAAAGTGTTTCTTGGCAGCAGTCAAGGGCAGCTGTAGCCCCATTTTTGACTATGTGGTTTTGTTAGCATATACTGGTTTCATATAACTTAATCATCTGTCGATGGGGGCTTAATATAGACTTAAAAAGTAAACTGTACAATTATTTTCAAATTAACACTAATGCATGATTCTAAGGGTTTTGTGAACCTGTGGGAATATCCATGATCAATTGTTTAAAATCTCGTCTTGATATTAAATCATTTTAATGAAACAGAATCTTGGGGAAAAAAAAAAGGACTTACCATTGTCAGGGGCACTTAATCATCTTTCCCTACTTCTTTATACTTTGTCCTCAACCCTTTTTATTCCTTTCCATTTAGACACATACAGGAGAAAAGGAGAAGATCTGCCCATATTGTGGCCAGAAATTTGCCAGCAGTGGGACACTGAGAGTCCATATCCGGAGCCACACAGGTATGTACATTGTAACTGGTGATGAAAACATTTTAGGGAAATGGCATTCTTCCACGACAAGGTATATCATAATGTACAAAAGACTCTGTCTCAGAGTAAGCATTAATATTGGCTGTTTTCTCCCCTTTAAAGTATTGTAAAATCCAGTTCCTTGCTCTAGAAGAAATTTGAGTACGTATATTTTCCTAAACTTAATAAAATATTTAAAGTGGTAGTAATTTGATTAACATTTCATTCTGATAGAACTGTGATTTATTTTATATACTGTGCTCATAGATGGAATAGAGAATAGCAGTTTTACTTTTTATAGAAGGTTGAGAATCTCCTTTTAAAATTCCTCCTGTAACTCACATCAAATGTGGCCTTTTTTAAATTTATGAAGTCCTTGGTGTATTGCTTGAATGCCATAGAATTTTTTTTTGGATACAAGGTGATGTGACCATAATATCTGTCATACTGTGGATTGCCCCTTCTTTTCTTACTACTTCTGTGCAGTTTCTCCAAAGAAAGAGGGCTGTGCCTTAGTATAGAATGAATGAATAACTGTCTGGGTTTATTATGTAGATAAGTACTTACAAAGACATGAAAAAAATTAAATTTTGATAGCCAGCTAATTGTACATTAATCTTAAAAAAATTTTGTAGCTGGAAGATATTTATATGGTAAACTGTGTAATTGGATTATATAGCTGAAGCTTCCTATTAAAGGGCCATAGTATTCCATTTTCTTTACCATTGTATCCCCTGCACCCGGCACAGTGTCTAGGACAATAACTATGTTGTGACTGATGAAATGTTAGTTCAAGTAGCCAAACAATCAGAACGGTGACTGTTACACATATGTGGAGGGAAGTACAGCAATGGAGCATAATTCATTTTTGAAATTTTGTGACTAGAGCTAAAAGACATAAGGTCAACCTGGTATTTGTTATCTTAGAATAAACAAATATCTTAACTTTCACTTTTCATTTACAACTATTTAAGATACTTGTAAATGAAACACATAACCGAGAATAGGCCAAGCTTTGATGACTGGAGGAGTGGGTGCCTAAAAAAAGAAAAGAAAGTCTTGATTAGATGTATCTATAGAAAGTAAGGTTTTCAGGATACGGTCAATCTGTCTGGTGGAAGCAGAGAGCAACAAAAAGAAAAAGTAGAGAGAAACGATAGGAAATGAGCAGCAGAGAGCTGTACTGAGGGCAGGTGTACTTAAAATAGTGCCAGAGGCTGTTAGCACCATGTTCCGATTGTACAGAAGAAGCGAGTCCAGGATAAAGGTAGAAGATAGTTCTGAAGTCTAGGGCCAGCTCCTGCACTCTAGGGGCATTAGGTACTTTTAGGCATTAAGCATCACTCTCGTATGTGTGCCTGGGGACATGTGGAGTTGTGGAGGACAGGGTAAGGGCAGGAGTGAATTCAACAGCCTTCTGTTCTATATCTCAGCAATTCTTGAAAGATATCCTTGTGCCATATTGAAAACATAACTTCCAGTTTGCTAGGCAGATATCCTGCATAGACAAGATGAACTTAGTCAAACAGAATACTTGATTATCCAAAATAATTCTACCCTTAAGAATTCTGTTTGCCTACATTTTATTTTACTTACAGGAAGGATGGGAAGTGGAGAAGAACAAAGCACTGAAAATAGTATTTGCTGCTAAAATTTTAATTATTATTACCTACTACAAAGTTGCAGTAATAAGAGGATTATTTTTTTTAAGGTCCAGGAATTCTCTGTAATAAAAATATTAGGCATATGTAGCATTTTGTTGTTGTTGATATATGTTATCACATTTTGAATAAAAGCTCTAAACAATATACAAAACCCAAATCATTTTAGGTATGACTTGGATACGTGTTATGCTCTGTACCAAATGTTATATAGATTCTGGCCTATTAAATGTAGCCTGTGATTAAGATATCTGGCCATGTAAATTTAGACAGCAGTGCCGGAACTCAGTTACACATGCGCTTTACTTTGCGACTGCTTTCCTACATTAGTATGCAGTACAAGTGCTTTATGCTTGCTTTCATTTTATTACAAAGAATATTAAAAAGATGGTACTCGAGAGGGTAGAGTTTAATAAGATTAGTAACATTTACTTCACCAAGGACTTTTTTATATTTATTTTATTTTGGTAAAAATACATGCAGCCAAACATACGCCCATTCGACAATTTCTACATGTACAGTTCAGTGACGTTGGTTACATTCTTTACATTTTGTCACCATTCTCGCTATCTCTACCCATATTGTTTCACCACCACTGACTCAGATTCATTGCCCCCTAAACTTTTCATCTATGCTTTAGAGTTACTGTTGTCAGTTTGCTCTCATGTAGATAATTCTTTAAAAGACCACAATGATCAAGTGAACCTTCTTTACTAACTTCTCTAAACTGTTGCTGAGTTTAAAAGATGGGTTCAGGGGATAGTTTCAGTCCAGAGTTTAAATATTTTCTCAAGGCAGTAGATTTGGGGATTCGTCCAGTCTCAGTGGGTCTGGTAAGTCTGGGTTTCATAAGAATTTTAAATTCTGTTCCACAATTTTCCTTTTGATCTGGATTTGTCTACTGAGTCCATCAAGAACATTCTTAATGAAACTGTCATTTATTTCTACTGTGAGTATGTGGCTTTAAAGACTTAAATGACAACTGGTACAATTTGATGGCAGTGCCTTGATTCATACCAAAGCACCAGCAGTTTTACTGACCATTACTTTTATACACTTAGTGCAGATGCCAACACAGTGAAACAGGCAAATAAAGCAAAGTATTATTATGAAAGTAGTTTTGACCTTAAAGATCTGTGAAAGGGTCTTGGGCACCCATAGGAAAACACAGATCACATTTTGGGCATTGCTGCCCTAGATGGACCCACTACTACTACCTACCTGTTGCCATGGAGTCTATTTTGACTCACAGCAACCCTAGGACAAGGTAGAACTACCCTATATGGTTTCCAAGGCTGTAAACTTCATAGAAGCAGACTGCCACATCTTTCTTCTGTGGTAAGTAGCCGAGCACTTAACCACTACATCACCAGGGCTCCTTTGATGGACCCTCTAGTAAGTGATAATTACTTAGAAAAAAACAGTACGTGTGTGTATGTGTGTGTGTGTCTGTTGGGAGCAGGTAAAGTGGAAGAGGCAGAGAGGAACGTATTGGCCCATGAAGAAAAGGGAGCCTGCTGACTGATGCTATGCTGTTTATACTGGTGTCAGTTCTCTCACCTGACTATTTAGATTGGTATTTCTTCTATTTGTTGCTCTGACTTTGTTGATAAATTCTCAAGCTCCGCTGCTGGTCTTGAAGCATGTGAATGTCCATTGCCATTGTATGTATTAAAATCTAGTGATGAGTAGGAAGTTTGCCAGATATGACCACTTTTGTAAGAACTGTTGGCCCATGGGCTGATAATGTTATGTTTATAATTGTACATACAAAAACAAAAACCTATTGAACACACATGTAGCATGTTTGTAGACTTACTTCAGAACTTACCTCTACAATTTGTCGGGAGATAGCAAAAGAAGGTATTTACCGATATTTAAAATCATTTAGTTAGAGTTTAGAGTAGCCTAGTTGTCATGAGATTAAATAACTTTCCCATCTGGAAAATAGCCCTACTTTAGAAGCAGTGTGTCAGTGTGCCTCCTACTGTACCTTTCTACTATGGGAGGCAGCCTTACGTAATGGAAAGACCAAAGGCTTTGAAGTCAGGCGGACTTGAATTCAAATCCTGGCCCCATCTCTTACTAGTTGTGTATCATTGAGCAAATTACTTAACCTCTGTGAGCCTCAATGTAACCATTTTATCTCCTGATTTCTTTTTGAGTAATAAATGAAATCATGTCTGTAAAATACTTAGTGCTGGGTTATAGGAGATGGTCAGTTAGGGTTGTCCTAAGTATTAGAAAACTCGTTGCCATCAAGTTGATTTTGACTCATAGCAACCTTATAGGACAGAGTAGAACTGCCCCCATCGGGTTCCAAGGCTGTAAATCTTTAAGAAAGCAGACTGCCACATCTTTCTCCCGCTGTTGGATTTGAACAGCTGACCTTTCGGTTAGCAGTTAAGCACTTTAACCACTGTGCCACCAGGGCTCCTTTGTCATAAGTACAATCTCTGAAATTCTTCTGTAATATTGCTACTTGTTAAGACTACATTTCTAATGTTAAATGCATCTGTGTGTTCATTAACATTGGATCGCAAGGCTTTACTGAATGATACAATTTCTTATGTTATCATTTCCCTCTCTTTTCTAATAGATAGACTTTCTTACAGGCTATCATGCTGAGAATTTTATCTTCATCATTTTTTCGTTTTTCTTCTTTCCACTTTATCAAGATCTTAAATTGTTGAACATGCTGAAATTTTTATAACTTAGTTTTATAAACATAGTCTTAGTTGACTGATGATAAGGAGCGAATTTAATATCATGGTGGTTGGCATAATTGTAATCATGGGATTTCCTTAATGTATTTACCTTTGAAAGAAATGCATTTTAAATGTCTATGTTCCTGATTAGCTAAATCTTTTTTTGTAATAAATGTTTAAAGGAGATCTCAATTGCAAACAATCACTTTTGGTGGTATTTTAAATTCTAAACTATGTCCCACTGATTTCTTTGTTGAAAGTAAACCATAGTGACTTCCAAAATAACCTTTTATTGTTTAATTTGTCTTTTCACATCTGAATGTGAACTTGGCTTTTTAAATTTGTACTACCTCTTGTATTAGATATAAATTGAAAGTATGCTTGATTTCTAAGCTCAAAAAAAAATTGTCCTTTTCCTTTAAAAACTGTTTATAATAGCAAAAAAGTGAAAACAGAACTTACATATACGACATTGAGGGATTGGTTAATACATGATCTATGCAAAATTAAAATATTTTTTATGTAGATAAAAATGATGTTATAGAAGTATATTAATTAACATGCAAATAAATGAGAAAGACAAGTTATAAAAACAAATATATTTTTATAAGGTCAAAACATT